CGCACTGCGCAAAGCAGTGTTGGCAACATTTCTAGATGACTTATATAGTCTCCAGTCTTCTTCTTTATTTGTCTTTATTGCTTTACGCTTAAGAGCATCTCTTTTAAATAATTTTTCCTTTACTTCCCGGCTTACCCAAGGAATATTGCCCCCTTTTCTTAATCTTTTTACTCTCACAGGGGCATGTTTGTCCAGCACATCTACAAAAAATGTTTTCCATAACCGCCACATTTCATTTACATTTCTTTTAAATCTTATTTCTTCCCAAGGTATATTTTGTAAGTCATATAGAAAGCCTGAAACATTGAAATTCTTAAAATTTCTATACTCGACAGAACCTTGTAAATCAGTTTTTATTCTTGTACTTATTTTCCGAATACTATAAATGAGGCTGTGATCACTAATTCCGAGATGGACTACACCTGAAAAAAATATTTTTTCAGGCATTGACGCAATTACTACATCCAATAATGATTGGCTAGACTGGGTAATACGCGTAAGGTTATTAATTAATTGTGTAAGCTGATATAATTCCAAAACGTCTTGAAGCTTTCTAGTGGTGGACAAAGTTGGTTCTAGCATATTACAATTTAAATCTCCCAAAATATAAAATTCTATATTTTCATCATCAGTTGATTTGATTAGCCTCTCAATTTTTATAGACACTTCACTAGCGGAACATGGTGGTCTATAAATACTTGAAACTATAAAAGATTGACTATTAGCCTGCTTAATTTCCACACAGACAGCTTCAAGGCCTGTTGGAACTAGATCAGGGCGATTTTCATAATTTATATGGCGTCTTATATAAATACATACCCCTCCTCCATTTCTATTCCGATCAGCACGTAGCAAGTCATAACCTTCAATGCTAACAATCCCATCGGAAATAGTGGAGTCCAAACGGGTTTCATTAAGGTAAGTGGGTATCCCCATTTGACGAGTAAAAATGAAAATGGGGGGGGGGTCAAAGAAAAATATTCTAATATGCAGGGGGGGGCCATCATTAAATTTCTGCCATTTGGGGGGGCTTTCAATTTTAAAAATTTAGAAAAGAAAAAAATTCCCCTCCCCCCTTCCATAAATAATGACCGGTCCCTAATGGCTCGCCGATTCTCTGCCCAATAAATGCCACTTCTTCGTCTTCATATGTATTTAGATTACAGCATCCAAAAGTTCTTCATTGTAGAATAGTGGCAATCGAAAAATTGAAAACATTAGTTGCACTAACCCTCCAATAACAAATTTAGGATAGGAATAAAAACAAATCATTTGAAAGTCACGCGCAATCTTCGCGAAAATTCCTCGTGGCTATATTCGCCACCCCCTGTCAAGTAGCCATGAGGAATGTTCGCAAAGATTGCGCGTGACTTTCCGATGATTTGTTTTTATTCCTATCCTAAATTTGTTATGGGAGGTTTTTTTCCTTTCAAGTGCAACTAATGTTTTCAATTTTTCGATTGGGACTATTCTACAATGAAGTACTCTTGGATATTGTAATTTAAATGCATATGAAGACGAAGAAGTGGCATTTATCGGACAGAGAATCGGCGAGCCATTAAAATGGCGGCATATTAGACGAAATATTGAAGGACACAATATCGAAGATAAAATAGACTGCACTGCTTCAAAATTTGCCGAAACTTGATTGAAATCTTCTTTAGCCATTTACCATTATGTAAAAGTACAACAACTGGATATTATTTGCGAGACACGGCGATAAAAAGCAAACAAGGCGGCAAAATATGGCTGAAATCGTGTTTTCGTGGGGGTAAGTGAAATAAAATATATTATATTTATAGAAAACAATGTCTATCCTTATGAAAACTACAATAATTCTATTAAATTAAGCATATTTTTTCATCCCATGATAATTTTTTTAGGAAATAAGGGTACTTAATTTCTGCCATGCATATTAGTTATTTTATGCATAATTAGCAATTTACCTGGGGTGATGCATGCATGGTCATTTTCTTGTAAAATATTATACTTACACAAATTTTTCTTTCCAATAACTACCCCTAAAAGCAACCCTTCTAAACACGATATTTAAAGCACTTCAGAAAGGCTGCTGCTTTTGCTTTTCGGAAGTTAGAGCTATGTCGGCACTGCCGTTTCAGGGCGGGGTCATTTTCAGGACTTTCGTCCCGGATTCAGGTTTTGGCACATATGCCATGTTGACTGCCATGGTCATTTTACCCTAAAACAGTACGTTGAGATTAATATTACTTGTGGTAAATGAAACGCATACAAACTCCTATATAGGTCCTAGACTAATATTACAAATCTTATGTAAGCTAATCCAATTTTTGTTGTAGAGACTTTGTTTACTTATCTTTCGAAAGAAAATTTTCTAAGGATTTCAAAAATATATAATGTGTCTCGTGTTAAGATAGAAAATAATTTTTAAGTGAAGAAATTTTTGAAATATACTTTTGAAATCCTTAGAAAATTTTCTTTCGAAAGATAAGTAAACAAAGTCTCTACAACAAAAATTTGATGAGCTTACATAAGATTTATAATATTGTTGTCGTGTTGTAAACAATTAAATTTTAATCAAGCAGCTGCTAACTTCTAAATTTCTCATCGTATAAACTTGATTCAAGCATTTTCCGATAGCTTACCTGTATTTCTCGAGGATTAAAAATATATAAAATTTACCTTGTCTTGGAGCAGCAAGTACAGGAAATTTCGACGAACAATTCAATTTCGCGCATTGAAATTAAGTGGTCTTAATTTATTACACCGCAAAATTTGTGGTGTAAAATCCCAGCCGATGCCAGGGCCTTCTTAGCACGAAGGCCCTGGAGATGAGGTTGAGAAGATTCTTGACATTGTAAGTGTGTAACCTGTGCTGCAGGGTGAAAACCGTAAGTTGACTCGCTTTGCCGAGTTGACCCGCTTCGTATATTTATTCCCTATTATTTTAACCTTACGATTACATGGCAAGCGAGTTGCCCGCTTAGCCGGGATCCCGCTTGTGGCTTGCCGAGAAACTCGCTTAGGCGGGATGGAAATTGCCAGGCCGGGCAAGAAATATGACTCGCGCATGCGTTACTCTGTTTGTTTACACGTGTTGTTCATAATGGCGTATAGAAATAACAGCACTGCGAAGAAAAATTCGCAAAATTCACAGGCAAAAAAGAAAACACAGGCAACATCGAAGTTCAAATGAAGTCGATCAGGCTCTGGAAAGATGGTCATGGAGTTCTATGATTTAATGGTCCTTATATGGGGTGGAGCCCCATCCACTGAGCCTCTTTCGTTTGGTGCTCAATCTGCTGGTCAAGCAGAAGAAAGTCAAGAACAAGGTGTTGATATATCTGGTAATTCTGGTTTGGGAAATGAAGAAAATGAATATATTCTGACGATTCCCTAACTAGTTCTCTTGGTAATAACGTGGATAGTACCAGTAGTGCAAGCAATGAAGCAACTACCCGTAAACGCCCAGCTTCAAACCCAGTTCCAATGCTTATAGACAATAAACGAAAACATATGGAACGACAGTTATCAGTAGCACAAAGAGATAAGCTACTCATGCAAGAAAGTAAAGAAGAGAAAGAATTTCGCAAAGATTTATCAAGTTCTTTAAAAGAGTCTAATAATATATTTGCTGAGTCTATGAAGGCCATGAATGCCTCTATGATGGCAATTGCCTCATCAATGCAAAGATCATTTGAACATAGTGCAGCACCACAGTATATTAATCATATGGCCCCTCCCATATTTCGAGCCATATTCAGCCCATGGTGATGCCCAATGTTATACAACAGGGTAATTACATTTATAATCCTGCAGCACCATTTCCTGCTATGGCACCAGGTAGAAATGACAGTGATAATGAAGATTGTGAGCAACAAACTGTTATAAGTTGTAAACTCAAGATAGGCTATAGTGTTTATTTAAAGTTACTTGTTTTCACATTGATATTTAATCGAATTGTTTTGTTTTAGCTATATGTACTCATGTACAATACCTTTAATGTTCATATTTCACTGTTCATATTACTGTATATTTAACTTGCTAACAACAAAACATTTTATTAACATGTATTTGAATTTATCAGTTAATCAACATATTATATTACATGGCGTGGTACTCTTGATGGTACTTTAGTAGCTATCAGGTAGGTTTACTTGTATATATTGTGTCATGACATCCCTTATATAGCTTCACCTTCCCCGGTAGTGCAAGAATAAACTGGATCAGGAACATTTTGGTATTCAGTCTCCATCGATCTGTTTCTTGCAACTTGACTTCTCACAAGTTTTTCATCAATGGTATCATTATGAAGTTCACAAAAGTTATGGAGTACAAAACATGATAAAACAACTTTTGGAATTGTTTCAAGTTTTAGGTCCATTTTTCTTGTAAGAATCGACCACCACGCTTTCAAACGACCAAATACGCACTCTATTGGGTTTCGGGCAGACCTCAACATGTTATTAAAAGTCACTTCAGCATCAGTCTTGCATGATTGAAATTCTTTCATACAATGTGGTGTTAAAGGATAAGCAGGGTCACCAATAACATAATTTGGAATCTTGTTGTGACCAGGTAGTAGATTGTTGAAGGTTTGTGGTAGCTCTCCAGATTGTAACTTATTCTTTACAAAATAATTTGAAAATAGATTATAGATTATAGATTATTTAATAAGATTTTACATCGCAGCCCAAAAAGCTGAATTGCGTAAAATTTACAAAACATATAAATTAACTGTAGGTTATAAAAAGTCTATAGACACATGCATATATATATACATATACACACATACAAATACTAACAGTACACATATTTTCATACATATACATTACGATCTTTAAGGTTCAAGTTAGACTTAAGTTATGAAAACAATTCATAGCAAACCTATTTCTTTAAATTATTTGACATTGCGGAAATATAAGAGTTTCTAAAACGATTGGTTCGTATAGTAGGACAATCAAACGCACGTTCTCTCCTCAGGTTGTAAGTGGGATTGTGTTTGGGTGGCAGTAGTTGATAAAGCTTGTGGTCTGGGTTGGATACTATTGTCTTGAAAAGTCTTTGAGAGAACTAATATTATGCTTGTTAAGATTGTTCGTATAAGATGACCCAGGAGATATAATTGAAAGCGCTCGCTTTTGAATGCGTTCAAGATCGTTACATAAATATGCAGGTAATGAGTGGTGGAATACAGGTGCACAATACTCGAGAACTGGTCTGATGCAAGTACAATAAAATTTTAAGATATGGTCAGCAGGAATGCTTGCACGCCTAAGCAAAATTAGGAAATACAAACGTTTGTTAGCTTTCTTCACGACATAGTTGACATGGTCAATCCATTCCAGTGAGTTAGACACCATGACACCCAATATCTTGGCACTGCTGACTAGCTCGAGTTCTTTGGAATTGATGATGGTGGTCTTAAGCTGATGTTTCACTTTCTTAAAGTCAACTATCATTTCCTTACACTTGTCTTCGTTCAACTGGAGTTTGTTGTTTTTACTCCATTTCTCTACATCAGACACTGCACTCTGCATTTGGCTTTGGCTATTTCTTGGGACAACCTCGGTTAATACCTCGGTTACAACCTCGGTTAATTTTACCCAATACCTTTGCATCATGGACGCTATCAGGCCATCTGCACTCTACATCCATGAAATAGCCTTTAAAATCACACACTGCTTGTACACTAGCTGATAGAGAAAAAGTTGTTTATAGTTGAAGTAATCCTGGGAGTCAACAACTGGTCTTCGAATTGGAATGTGAGTGCCATCAATGCTCCCAAAAGGCTGTATCATGCCAAATTGTGCTTCAAACTTTGCGACCTTAGCTCTCATTTCATCTTCTGTTTTGGGCAGATGAATGTATTTAGGTGAAAGATGAGTAGATATAGCTGTACAAACTTCAAGGACAGTCTTTGATACTGTACACTGGTGTATGCCAAAAGTATTCGCTGTCATCCAGATAGACCCAGTATCTTTTAAATAATACAGCGTGACACCAACCGTTCTCTGGACATGCGGAAATTCCTTTTCCAGTCGTCTGCCGGTGATATTCCGTCAATCATGTTTCTCCACCAGGCGTCAGTCATTCCATTTTTTACCCAAAGCGATCGCTTCTTTCTCAGCAGTCTTCTCATTCTGATGTGTCGAGCTTTTCTTCTAGCAATAGTTTGCTTAGTGGCGTAGTAAATCATTATACTTTTGTTTAAATGCTGTCGGTAAGCCATGTAAACATATAGCAAGCCATGAAGTTGAAAAAACAAGGTTGCTATAAGGCAAAATTGACAAAAACGACGGGGTCCATATTTGAAATTCAAATATAAAGATTGGCGGTATTTATAATTTTATAATTCCCGCCAAATTTTAAGCCTGCCCTGCAGGTTAACATTTCCCATGTAATCGCATGTTTAAACTCGTCCCGGCTAACCGAGTCAACTCGCTTAGCCGGGATAACTCGCCTCATGTAATCGGCCCCTAAGATGAGCAAGAAACCTACACATAGTGCTCTCTGCCATCGATCGGATGAACTATTATACACAATTTTTTAGAATCTATGTCCAACATTGTGAAGGGGGGAGGGGAATTTGTCTGTTTTATTGATTTTTTATAGGTGTTTCATTAACTTTTTGCGCAAGATTGTAGCTTTTGAACAAGTGCACTTGTCATGGAAAAAAATGTCAAAGTACAAACTTTGTTCATCTGTATGGGTAAACAAAGAAAACTTGTCAAAATAATCTGTGCATTTGATGTGATTGGCCATGCAGCGCTCGCGTTGTCCGCTGTACCAGTACTATTACAATTGCTGGTTACTAATAAATTGCCAAAGTAAACTTGTTGATACGTTCACACCAGTAAATAATACTTGTCATATGAAAACTTGTCATATAAAATTTGTTGCATATACACACGTGCACTTAGCAAATAAAACTTGTCACATAAAAACTTGTCATAGAAAACTTGCTCGTCTGTAACCGGCTTTAGTGATGGCCTCACTAAATATTAATAGCGTTTTAGCGCATATTGATGAATTTCGAGATTTTATGAATGATTCTGATATTGATATTATTTCAATCAATGAAACAAAGCTTGACTCTTCAATTAATGATACCGAGGTTTATATGCCCGGCTACGAAATAGTAAGAAAATACAGAAAAAGAAAATTGACGACATGGGCCCGGGAGGGGGTGTTTGTATTTAAGTAAGATGCAATCTTAGGGACGGACCATTATTTTTTTGGAGGGGGTGATGGAAAATTCTTAAAAAAATTGATTGCAAAGACAAAAAAGTGCAAATAAATTGTTTGCACACATAGAGAAGAGGAAACAAATAGTTTGCAAGCTAATGAGATTATGCAACATCAACCAAGGTTTAATACGCAAACAGACATTTAGTAGTTTTTCAAGTATTTATAAACAAAAACATTTAATATACTTTTTTAATACATTTAGCAATTTCAAATTGACTGTATTCAATAGATTAATATTTATAACCCATATGTAGATTGCGACATGTGCCCATCATCTCCCACTCTCACGTGAAGACCCTGGGTATGCCGGTGAGCACTATGTTCATTGTTATTTGTGCATTTTTAAGGCCTCCCCCTTCCCCCCCATCACCACCCCCATTCGATGTTTCCGTTTCATCTATATTTATGGTCTGACATATTGTACAGACAAAATTGTACGTGTATAGAAATGAGTGGGAAAGCAACAATTAAAAAGTTCAGAATTTGTTCGGTCGTTCTACGAACGTTTGTCCAAGATTGTATATATCAGGTGTCCCAAAAAACCCTGCGCTGTTTGATTTAATGTAACATAAAAACTATAAAAGCTGTTGCACTGGAATAAGTTTTATTGTATTCAGGAAGGGCTAACTTAGATTTTGATATATAACAACATTTGAATGTCTGTGCAACATTTACTGAGCCATCAACGTTTTAAATCTGAAATTGAAAAACATATTTGACAATTTTAAAAATTTGCATAAAATTGCCTATCAAATATTATTTGGTTAACCTTGATATATAGTTGTATTGTGGTCAAGAGAACAAATGAAAAACATAATTAACAAATGTATTCATTCGTCTTAGAAAGTATGTCCTTTTTCACGCCGTATACAATGTCTTGCACGGGAAACCATAGGTCCATAAAACCCAAACTCTTTGATCTAAATCTTGTGTTAATAATCGAGGCTAATTCGAAAGGCGAACGACGACCAACTTTATAATACAAACTCCCAAAAGACGCCAAGTATAATTTCGAACGTTTTTAAATGTTTCATGCTTATTTTGCTTCCTAAGAAACACGAAAGGCTAACTTATACTAGGACATTACCAGAAATTAAAGTTGAGTTGAAATGCTAAAATTGAAATAGTTAATTTTTGTGGAAAATGGAAATTGTTTTCATATAAATTTGATCAGCCATGTTTCTCTATTTTTTTACTCATTTTTAAAGCGTGCGCCAAATTCAAACATTTGCATCTCATGTAATATTAAATGAATTTTTAGGGCTGTATATCAAAATCTAAGGAACCGGTCATTATTTATGGAAGGGGGGAGGGAAAAAATAAGGGGGGGCATATGTATAAATAAATGACTAGAAGGGGGGCTATTAAAATTTTTCAAGAAAATGAGGGGGGGTGGTTGCAATTAAATTTGAAGGAATTTGCTTAATAAGCCTGGTATTCATTGTGAAATAATCTGGATTTATCTTGTCTTCTGTCTGCTGTATGCAAATCAGTCTTTACTGATTGTAGAGATAAATTGACAATGTATTATTACATCAGCTATCTTGATGTGGTTAAATACATTTAAGCAAGGTTAACGGTGGATGTATTATGCAGGCCACATCCGCTGAAGGGAGTCTGTGACGTCATATCGATCAAAGGGTGTTGTTTCGCGCCTTGTGATCAGTGCTTCGGTCTGGGTATTCATTCTAGATCTGCCATTGTATGCTTTGCTTAGCTACAGCAAGCTTAGTGCTCCGATACCTTTTCCCCACCCACCCACCCATGTTTATTCTAGAGGATTTTATCTGGTAGTATGTCATTTTATTTTATATAATTTTTAATCTCACATAAAATAGGATGTATAGACCACTATACATTGTCCACTATACACATACATCAAAGAAAAATATTCTAATATGCAGGGGAGGGTCATCATTAAATTTCTGCTCTTTTAAGGAGGGGCTTTCAATTTTAAAAATTCAGAAAAGAAAAAATTCCCCTCCTCCCTTACATAAATAATGACCGGTCCCTAAGTTAGCATTTCCTGAATACAATAAAATTTATTTGAGTGTGATACCTTTATAGTTTTCATTTTACATGAAATTAAACAGTGCAAGTTTTTTTTGGGACACCCGGTATATAAATTTATAATGAAAACCACAGCAATAAGATGGACAAAAAAATTGTTTGCAGAAGGAAGCAGGTGCAAAAAAATTGTTTGCAGAGACAACATCACCAAAAAAAATTGTTTGCATTGACAAAATGTTCATCCCCCATTCCCAAAAAATAATGGTCCGTCCCTTAACTACAAAATATGCGAAGATTTAAGCTCTGACGAATAACAGGTGGGAAAATTGACTGAGCATGCGCGAAAACTGCTCGGGTTTTCAGCGGGAGATCGAAGAAGATGCGTGCATCCACTTTGTTGATTTAAAAGAACATAAACAACGTGAACAAAGCCTTCGAAAGACAATTTTGCAGCGGCTGTTTAGGGCCACCAAACACCACAAAAATTGGATTCACTAACAAACAATGTTGCAGTAAATACTTTGATTTCCTCTATTGTCACATATTTTACAATGTAAATTATTAGTTTCGATTATTTCAGTGCAAAACAAAACAGAGCAAAAAATTTCCTTTTAAAATGTCGTCTTATAGCTCAATAAAATGTGAAATTCAAACAAAAAATATTAACACTTCTTCATTTTTTACAAAGCCAAGAAATTTAATATCGACTTAAAAATGCTTTGAAATTTAATATAAAACAGCCGGATATTTCGTTGGCACAACCTGTAACATGATAAAATTCGTGTTTATAGAATTTTGAACGAGCGAAAATTGTGTTTAAAAATAATCAAGGGTGGGTTGACTACAAAATTTTTGTAGTTCGCTATAACTACAGCTACTTCAAAAATATGTAGTCAGCTACAACTACTGCTACTTTTGAACAAAGGTAGTTCGCTACTGACTACAGCTACTGCTTTAAAAATGTAGCGAACTATTTCGCTATTTCGCTACTCTATATTTTTTAGTTTTACGGTATTTGGAGCATCCACTAGCTCAGGCTGTAATATAACCTATAAAAAATCGACTTACGAGTAGCAACAGTAAACAAGAAGGGTCAAAGCAACATTTTTGTAAGCACTACAGTGTTCAGGAGTGCCACTTTTCATTGCGCTAAAATAATCTTTACTGTGTAACATAATCTTTTAAGCAAACCGTGTCTTAAAATCATTCTATTCTATGAACGGTTGCTAACAATTTTAAAAAGTAGCGAATAGCGATTCGCTGCTTGAAAAGTAGTCAACTACTTGGCTACTTTTAGGCAAAATGTAGTTCGCTATAACTACAACTACTGTTTTAAAAAAGTAGTCAAAAACTACTGGCTACTTGAAAATTGTAGTTCGCTACAGTAGCGAACTACAACTACTTCGCTACTACCCACCCTTGAAAATAATAATACAAAGTTTACGCTTCGAAATGAGGGTCATGGAAAAATCTGATTGCTATGTTTAAATACTTTGAAAACCTAAAAATAATATTCTTAAACTTTTATAGCAAAATACATGGCAAAATGTTTGTTCTGATGCTCATTCTCCGAGTCGCCTTTTCCGTATAAATCACACTTGCACATGAAATTTGCCAAAATTCAGTACTTTCTTCATTTTTTAGGCGAGTTTAGTACATTCTATTTGCCAAAACTAGAAAGAAAAGCACATCTTCTGACCTAATCATATTTCATTGGCACAACCTGTATATATGAGCAAATTAACATGAAAAACAAGCAATTTTAGGCTTTTTAGCAAAATACCTCACATATTGAAATTTGTTATTTGACGATGATCGTTGGCGCACAGTATCACTCAAAAACCAAATATTTATACTTTGTCTTGGACAACAAATGCATTTACTGCAAATTTCAAGTAATATTCCATCAATATTAAGTTTTGCTCGAGGTTAATATTTGCCATCAAAAACACACATTTTGCAAAAAACGTCACTTTCGGCCATGTTACAGCGAAGAATTCTTGACTGCTAATTTCCCGATTGCAAAAAGTAATTGTGGTCTTGATTAACGTTTATTAACGTTTACGTCTGCCAGCTTTCTTTTACATTTCCTCTGCTGCAGTACGAGAAACAGGGTAGCGAAATCTGTGTTTTTGTTGTTTTCACAATTTTTGCTGGAAAAAAGAAATCGTCCGCGATAAATTTGGTCAGCGACAATTTTCCCACCTGTTCTGACGAATTAGAGTCAATCTCGTTATCGGTTAGAATTTTACACCCCAAATTTTGTGGTGTATAATAAATTAAGACCACTTAATTTCAATGCGCGAAATTGATTATTTGTTTTTCAAAATTTCCTATACTTGCTGCTTCAAGACAAGGTAAATTTTATATATTTTTAATCCTCGAGAAAGAAACTATCGGAAAATGTTTGAATCAAGTATATACGATTAGAAATTTAGAAGTTACGAGTCAATTTGGCAGCCGCTTGACTAAAATTTAATTCTTCTTCTAAAACTTTCACCTTCGTTCATTATAAACATTTATTTTGTAAACTAAATTCAAGAACTTTAAAAATGTTCGTTTGAATGAAGTATATTGGGTCGAGTATAGCCCGCGTGCAGGCCCAAGGGAACTGATAGTGGGCCTGCAAGCAAGGCCCGGTATTTTGTACTTTAATTTCCGCGTTCGCCCACGAACGCGGCATTCTGATTGGCTGTTTGCTGCTGGATTCTATAATTAGTCGGTGATTCATTACAAAGGCTCTCGATAAGCTCAAAATTCGAAAATTGATTACTTTTTTCGATTATAAATGGAACAAGAACAGACTGTTTATTGTTTACTTGAAGGAAGAGATGTTTTTGCCGTTATGCCAATGGGGATTGCTTGTCGTGAGGTGTTGGAATAGCAACATTACGACTGGGGTAAACTATAGTAACCTTTACTTGAGTTTCATTAATTTCAAACAGATTGATACGCGTTATATGTTCCTCAAGAAAAGTATCTTTTGGTTGATGTTGAGATGCAGTTGCATGTAAGCCTATTCGAAACACTTTGCAATTTACAAGGCTTCGCTGAGAGAGCGAGACAGAAGACGGTATTAAATTGCCGTTTGAAACGAAACGATCTGGACTCTGAACGCTCTCTTCTTTTGTAGAGTTCTTTACCAAATGAAATAACTGAAATAAATTTCATACTTTCCGCCGCCAACAAGAATTGCACACACGATCTGATAAGTGAGACAATTTATTTATAACAATGGCGACAGCGAAGCACACATTATATAAAATGCTAATGTGGTCGCACGACTTCCCTCACGATTTGAAGTTTGAGACTGGTTTTCTGTTGACATTCGTCCTAATTTGCCTGTTCCGATTTTAGTTAAAAATGAGCACTTGCAAATTTGGCAATTACTGACTGCGTTGCTTGCTTTTTTGGAGTTAAAACGCAGCTGTTTACACATTGTTTATGTTACCAATAAGCAGAGAAAACCCGGCAACATTTTAACGCGAGTTTGTTTGTTAATATTTGGGTGCTGTCATTGGTTCTTTTTTGACAACTGATTCGCGAATGGGGCGTGTTATGAAAAGGGGCGTTTTACAAAATACCGGGCCTTGCTTGCAGGCCCACTATCTGTTCCCTTGGGCCTGCACGCGGGCTAGGTCGAGTATTTTAAAAATTATCCAAAGTTTAGTACTGTTGCGCTATATTATGCCATGCTGTCACTTTCCTTTGCGCGCTCGTCCTTAGTTGCGGGCGTGCGCCTAAAGGCGTGCGTCTTTATCGGGCTTGCAGTGCACGCGCTGATCTATATATTACTGATATTTAAATTTGATCTATATAGAGGAGCCTGCGGAGGAGGCAGATGCTGTCATATCACATGTATTAAAATATTTTGAAATTCTCAGTACAAAACTTTAGATAATTTTTAAAATACTCAACTAATATATCTCATTCAAACATTTTTAAACTCCTGGTTGTACAGCGATACAGATTATATAAAGTATGTAAAGGTTTGAACAAGTTTTCACCAAATTAATTTCGCGACGAAATTTGATGCTTACAGTTAACGAGTCTAAACTAAATATTTAATATGTCTCGACTGACGTGCAAAGGCCATTCACTTTTCTTCATTTAAGAGACACATTATATATTTTTGAAATCCTTAGAAGATTTTCTTTCGAAAGATAAGTAAACAAAGTCTCTACAACAAAAATTGGATGAGCTTACATAAGATTTGTGATCTTGTTGTCGTGTTATAAACAATTAAATTTTAGTCAAGCGGCTGCCGAATTATAATTGACTCCTAACTTCTAAATTTCTGATCGTGCTATCGGAAAATGTTTGAATCAAGTTTATATATCTCTCGAGGATTAAAAATATATAAACTTTACCTTGTCTTGGAGCAGCAAGTATAGGAAATTTTGAAAAACAAATGAAAAAGAACTATTAACACCATAGTCATGACTATTAAGACTATATAGTCATGACTATTACGACTATAGTCATGACTATTAGGACTGTATGCAAGACTATTAAGAATATCACATGGTTTCATGGTGCCCATATGCAAAGAGGATACGGAATCGGTGGAATTTATAAGAGTTTTGCAAGATTTGCTATTCCCCTCTTCAAACAAAATGCTAAAGCTCTTGGCGAAAAAGCATTGCAAGCAGCTACACAAGTCGGTAAAGATGTGCTCGAAGGAAAAATGTTAGAGAATCTGTAAAGACTCTCTTCAGTTTAATGACTGTTTGGCCCAAGCACGCCTTGAGTAATTACGTCATGCATACATGTTATAATTAAAGATGACGCGGCGCCCTGTAGCGCCTTGTTTTATACTAATGATGTGGTACCCAGCGGTGCCTTGCGCCACCCTGCTTTATGCTAATGATGGTGCGTGCGATGCCTCCGCGCCGTCCCCTACAAAAGGGTCGAAAACCACCTACATCACTACTGAGCCTCCCCAACTTGGACAATACAAATCTATTGTCTATGGCAAATGTCATATTCGTGGCCACCGAACGGAAGGTAACAGATATAACGCAACTTCGTGTTATACTTGCGGATAAAATAAGAAGCATCCTACTTAATTTTCAACACTTTGACCAAATAAGGAACCTAACCAATAGACGAAAGCAATTAAATTCGGAAGTTGAGACATTGAGCACCAACAAAATAGTTTAGAAGCCCTTTAGTCAAAGTCAGTGTCCGCTTTTGTTACGGCAATAACTCCTCGTCTTCTAAAGGCGTTCCCAGACCGGTACAACACAACAACTACATATATCTGGAAAAATATTACTTCAGAAAATCTGGCTACTCTAAGGATCGCGTGTAACAACAAAATGCCAATCCCTTCAATGGACGAAAGGCAATATTTTACAGAACTTCTTGAGAAATTTAAGCTTTGACGTTCGCGCGACAAGTACTTCTCAAATCAACATTAGCATCCATATTTCTTCGCCAGTAAGTAAGAAAGCAAAGCGTCACAAAAGGAAAACAGTATCAGTGGAAATCTCGTCTTCGGACGACCACTCTATTCATCTACTGACAGTTCTGATATCACCAGCAACGACAGCGAATCATTCGAAGGAAGGCGATCAAAAGTCAGTCGGCGCACAAAAAGCATATCATCGTCGTAAATATAAAAGCTATGACCATTGGGCAAAAAAAAGCTAATTATCGGTTGCAGAAAGTAAGCAACGAGTACACCGGTAATGAGAATTCTGAAATAGACAATTGTCAAGAGAAACAATCCCTGTCTATTAATCAATTATTTTTTACCCTGCACGGTTTCCTTTGTTCTTATCGGGGAATATATTCAATTTCCCCTCTAATCAATTTCCGTTTAATAATCCCTCTAATATTCACCTGCAATGTCTTTGCAGCACAAAAAAATGAGAAAAAACAACATAACGAAGGCAATATGGCATTAAGAATGATTTCTATTCTGACTCATTAACGCGACCTCGCAATTGCAATGTGAAAAATAGGTACGTTATTTTGAGGCACCTCGTGGATATGTGTTTATTCACCTCGGCGCTGCGCGCATCGGTGAATAAATCACATATCCCCTCGTTGCCTCAAAATAACCTATACATAACCGTAGATTATTACAATATTCAACTATTTTGCAAGGGGTTATACCTTTGGATTCTGGAATCTTTGAAATTGGCGCGTAAACTCTCACCAGCTTGAGTACACTAAATCAACGAAGAAAGCAGGCAGCCCGAACAAAACTCTGTTACAGGATATAGCACTTTAACTTTAGATGATTTAGCAAATTCTGCAGAAGAAATCGGCAATCGTACTTGCTTTACTATACAGTAGATTAATTTTGCATGTTAGCGTAATTTGCTATTTGTGTTACTATTGTTTTACTATTGTTCATACTACATACTACATACTATAAAACTATACTAGGTATAATAGTATTTATTGACATTATTTAGCAAAATGTGTAATGCATGTTGGTTTACATTTGTATAGCAAAAAGTAAAATCAGTTCAAAATTTGTTTTGCTTTGACGTTTGCTGATTTTATGTCTGATTTTACACCTCAGGTTGTCTCATGGCAACCCGAGGTATAAAATCAGACATATTTTCGTTCACTACTCGGTTCATTGAAAGTGTTGATATAAATACATGAGTTTGCATGATGGCTATCGAAATGCATGAAACGGGACAATCACGAGGTAAAAATAAATTGTTTTGTGACAAAAAATACGAAAATTCCCATCCGAATGGAAGTCTAAAACTAAACTTCCAAGCTGAGGGTTAAATTCGAGAGAATGCGGAGGTTGGAATAATCAGAGTTATATCTCTTTGACCAAGCATTCTTTGCAGTTCTGCCTCTGCAAAATGTCCGAAGATGTAACGAAGCAATGTTCGTTTTCTGGACATGCGACATAGCATAATCCCCGAGCCGACGGCGCTTCGCGCCGTGCGAGAGTACTAATCCCCCCCGGCTACTTACACCCGGGGAAACGAAAGCATTAGCGAAGTCTAAAGTTCATCAATCATCGCGGGCGTGGGTCACCAACGGTTGGTGTTGGGTGTGTGGTCATCCTCACTGATCTCAAAAATATGGCGGACTGTCATGAATAGCCGACACTGATTGGTCCAATGTAAAGTTTGCATTATAACGACTGCATGACGACAGCGAAATAGCAAACATTTCTTGACTTGATGATTGATGAATTTCTTGCAAATATATTTCATTTTTGCTCGCATTTTTGCAAAATTTTGTAAATTTCAAAACCACTCTCAGAAAGAAACTGCGAAAGAATCGGCTAAAAGAAGGGAGCCGACGTTAACGAAAGTAAGTTTGTTTTAAATATTGATTTTAAAATGGTTTAAAACCCGACGGACTTTGGCGGGCTTTGCGTATATGAAACAACTAAACAAGACAGCATATAATTTCAGTGTATCTTTAATATTGATTCCCTTTTTTATTATAGTTTATTTTTTAAATAAAAAAGAAAGCAAAGTTATTTACATGCGAGAATTTGAAATCATATTATTGCAAGCTCAAAGTTTATCGATAAAGCCATTTAATTAAAGGCAGTTTAGTTTTACATAAAAGGACACTTTAAAACGTTTTGCGAAGCGTTTGTGGTTGAATTTTACCTTAAATTGAAGCTTATATAACGTATGATAACATACCAAACATATATATGTTGGGAAATTAATAATTTTGTAATTAAAAGTGATATTTTATGCGATTTTTCATTTGTAAGAATATTCTTAAAAAATTATCGTGTTACCATGGCAACTACTTTAGATACTTCATGTTCGGAAAATACAATGGTTTTGTCAACAAGGCGAGAGTTTCTGCATGCATGTATTTTCTAGTATAATTAATATAATATAACTTAAACCCTTGTAGTGTAACTCAAATTTTGCGCGCCAAGTCAGGTTGCAAATTGCTCGCGTTGATTTGTATAATCGATTCAGCCAATTACCGAAGCAATCTCGTCCTTGCTTGAGCGAGGTTGTTATCGAAGGGATATTGCAACATTGCTCAGCAATATAATTGATGGGAAAGGACATCTGGTTTGTGTAGATTACCATAGCAATACGATTACAATAAAGCGTCGTATTGATGAAAAAGTGAGAATTAGGTGCGCATGCAATTGCCATAAATTGCCATTAGTGACAGGTGGTTTTGTAAAATGTGCAATTATAGGCTACCTGCGCAGTTATAGACTGATGAAACAAGTATATTATAATATATCGTCAGTCAACAGTATTGTTACTGAGGTTTAGTTATCTCTGAATTGGCCATAAAGGAAGCCATGCGTGCTCTGTTAATTTTGGTTTTGTTCATATTCTCTTCTCTCGAAAGAAGCGATGCCGAAGAAAATATTAATTTTTGTTTCAAAGACGAGAAACACGGTAAGAGTTTGTTTATGGCAAAACTTAATTAATGAATATTCTGTAGTTTCCGCCGTTAATACTAAGTCTTATGTGCCCAGTGTTCATGTCTACTGCTTCTGTTCACAGCAGCGGCCCAATCTCTGAATGGTCTACATATTTTGAATATTTTTATGGAATATTTAAAACTCTTTCTCAACAACCGGTTTCGTATTACATTTCGATTCAATTTTTTTAATATAAATATCTCGGCGAGTATTTACCCCCCTTTTAAATAAATGCCACCATTGAAATCCTCACAATATAACCTTTCGAACGGGGGGTCAAGTGCCGTCAAAACATTACACAAACCAAAACAATCATATATTTATCCTCACGGCTTCGCCAAACATTCAAACGGGAAAAAGAGAAAAAGTTGAATATATTCTAAAATTTGGCGTCATTTTCTGAAAGGATATATGTGCAAAATACTCTTTGTATTCAAGCGCTTTAGTGTAGAAAGTTTCGTATGAATACGGCGAGTAGAAATATTTATTTTGAATTTTTCAAGGTATCGGGTTTTACTCGCACGCACTTGTATTACGTAATACTTGGCCAATAAGGGGCTCCCTTTAGCCGGGATGACGTCAAACTCACGCGTATGGGTGCACTTTGACCTGTAGAATCCATTTCTGGCATTTCCAGAGTCACGCGATACAAACTACGCATTGTTTCGTCGTATTTCCGGTTTGGGATTAACGCAAATTCGGGCAGAAATGCAAAATTCGGCAAGAAAACTCAGTTTTAAAGATAGAAGCTTGAAAATAACACTATACGTGTTATTTTTAACTGCTTCATTGATCAAGAATACAAGAATGAGCATACGTCTCAAGGGGCCGAAGTTATGTTCGGCGAAAGGTATGTCTATGTTTATAATTTGTTAGTAATATTGCGTAATTTGATCATATATAAGCCCGTTTGACTTTCAAAGCTTATAAATCGCTACAATGTAGCCAGTGACTAAAACTATCGTTATAAATTAGTATATATTTTTATACTGAATCGAATGGTGGTATTTTCATCGACATAGCGTGTACTGAACCGAAGATATAAACGAAATATCCGTAGAACGTGCACGTTCTACGCGTAATGGCCCCTGTTGAGAAAGAGTTAACCGTTATAATATTTAATAACGAAATAATTAAAAAAATATTAACAATATATGTAAAAAATATATCTAATTAACTTGTTAATAGAATGCATTTGTTGTGTTTCTGAGTCTAGTTGATGCGATTGCTTTACGTTTTCGTCGCACTTGAACGGTCGTCAGTACTGGTACTGAACGACATAGCCGGGATAAAATAACTACATAAGGCTATAGCCACTTATCTGATATACTCTCCGACATCGAGTCCAATTCAGTGGCGTAACGGAGGAAGATGGGGGGTAATACGTATGCTACAAAATTAAAAAAGTTAAAATCGTGCCAAAATAAATGTATAAGGAAAATATTTTTTATAGGGAATTATGAAGATACCTCACCATACTATAACCTACTGGGTATACTTAACTGAAATTGATAATGTTTTTAAACTAAAAATAGCCGTTTTCACCTTTAAGATTATTAATATGAATAAAAAAGTACCTACAATAATCTCCGATATCATTGTTGCCGCA